TCACTTTGCTTTGTCTTCCTGCAGGGACTACCAGGAAGACACCAACCCAAGCCTCCACCTCCATAGACCAGGAGAAGCAGATGACAAAGTTGGAGAAACTAACCCTTCAGCTACAGAGTACAACATAGGAGCACATTGAACTGCATGGAATCCTGGGCAGTTATATAGACAAGGATTTGCAGAACAGGTAGTCATTATGTGCAGTTCTCTGCTGACCATCTTGACCCCACAGTGTCTACCTAAGCTTTCCTGAGGAACAGGAGGCTGAAGCTCCGGGGTGTCCTAGTGCTGAACAAATTTTCCTGGGTGCACAGAATTTGGAACCTTGGTAGGTATGAGATTGGGACACAGGCTATTCTTATTCATTCAAATGAAAAGCAGAGCCTATGGCCTGTATCACAGTTTTGGGATAGGGACAGTAGTGTGTGAGCTCTCAACATGCATTTCAAGAGGCCTTGGCAGGTGTTGGCTTGTGGGAGATGCTAGGTCCTGTGAGTTTGTGATGAGTCTTTGTACTTGATCAGCAGATGATTGTGTGCTGAAAAATCTTGGAGGGGCCTGGTCCCATTCATCCATATCAGTTTGTGTCTGGAAGGCCTGGTGCTTATCATTGCTTCTCTTTTGTCCTCCTCCTTATACTCTGAGGCTGTTCCAACTCTTTGCATTTCATGGGCATCCTGACTATAAGTGGAATGTTTGTGCATGTGGGAAGTAAAGGCCTAAAGCTATGCTTGGCTCCTCCTTATACTCTGAGACAGTGCAAATTCTCTGTATTTCATGAGAATTATTATTTTTATGTGGTGTGTGTGTTTGTGTGTGTGTGTGTGTGTGTGTGTGTGTGTGTGTGTGTGTGTGTGTTACTCCTGGGAGTTTAGAGTCTGTGGCAGGGCCCAAGGATTTGCCATTTTCACATCTTCCAGGGGATGCCAATGATGACACCAGGGAGCTTCACTTTGAGAACCTCACGTCTTGGCCACTCTTCTTACTTTGGTGGAACATTGGAATCCCTTGTGAAGTGTATAATGCCTTCCTGAAGTTGGGACTCCTCCCTTGAAATGCTCAATGCATGCTCTGGTCCTCTGTGTAGTACATAGGCAGCTAGGCATGAGAGTCCCTGTTGTAAAGACAGGAAAATGTCACCATAGGTTTCCGGTGGCACCAGTATGTGGCACAGACTCCTGGGGTCTCCTTAGAGAGATCATCCATAGCTCCAAGTCCACTGAGGGTACTCATGTAGTCGTGGATAACTCCTTCTTCTTTTGGCCTGGGGACATGATAGGAAGTTTAATAAGCACCAGGAGGACCTATTGTATAAGTGCCAGGTGTGTCTTCCATGGCACTGAGGATTCCAGAGCATAGCCTGATTCCATATGATCCTTGTGGCCTGTGTTCATGGGGTCCTTTTCTCCTGGGGCCATGCCCTACCACAGGCTGAATTCTTTTGAAATCATGAAAAAGGAGCATAAGCAGGTGATGCTGGACTTACAGAAAATGCCAGTGGAAATATGTGACGGTGTGAAGAAGATCAAACAGCTGATTGAAGAGAATGTATCCTACAGGTATGTGCCTGATTTAACTTGGGAGAGACTGATTCTGCCATCTTTCTCTTTGACTAAAAGTGAGAGCTCTTGTTCTTGCCTGTCTGCCTCTTAGCAAGCAGCCTGACATGTGGTCCTTGGCCTCGTGCCTCTTGGACTCAGTTTTGCTAAGTGTGAAAAGACACTGTTCCCCTCCAAGCAATGTCCTGCCAGCTTCAGCAGGCCCTTGATAAAAAACAAATGGTTTGAACAATGAAGGGAGTGTCAGGTATCCTAGTACTTCTGTGGCTCTGACCAGGGCTTCCCAGAGCTTGTTTCTATGGTAGCCATTGACAGAATTGATTCTGGTTGGGGCTTTTTCTATCCTTCTGACAGTGTTTGCCCTTAACCTGCTGATGCTTTCCCAATGTCATGAACAGTTAAGCACAGGTGTGGGCTGTACCCTGTTCTCAGAGGCACAGGATCCCTTTTGGCATCAGGAATTTCAGAAGTATTTTGAATCTTTTTGCAATTTTGTTACTCTCTGGATTTGACTTGCATCTGATTGATGCTGCTTGGCTACTGAGAACTCCATTCTTGGGCTTCCTGGGGATCTGGGACTTTTCAGCACGGGTGGTTTTTGGGGGTAGGAATGGCAAAGGAGGCTGGCTGGGTCTCACCATGTTTTGGTGTTTGTTCAGTTACCTCCACGGCCAGGTCCTCCGAGATTG